ATAGATAGATAGATAGATAGATAGATAGATAGATAGATAGATAGATAATAAAAGGAAGAGACAGAAATTATACAAATAGACATTAAACTGAAAATTGCAGAGTAGCATAAGAAATAATTACAAGAAAATTCAAACTACTCCATTAGAAAAACTATCTCACATTTACTCTTATTTTTCAACTTGTTTTAAAACAAATACAGGGAGAGTTGCATGGTAATTTAACACTTTGTCACATTCAGAACTGTTATATTTAACTGCTATTTATGTCAAATTTTAGATTAGCTATAAAAATAAAATGACATAATTGAAGAATTTAAACTTCTTATTTTAAAAGAATCAAAGCTCGGATGCGACAAATGGCCATGCACAGGATTGTACTCTATAGTTTCCAAATTAAATAAAAACTAGTATTAGACTTGTTTTTCTTTTTTCTTTTTCATGTCTGAAGTATTTTGGAGATTGCTGCGTGCTCCCATAGTTTCATCTGCCATATTTCTAATAAAGAAATTAGAAGTGTTTTCCAGAAAAAAGCATAATGTATCCTAGTAAGAGCTTTGCATATACAAAACCAGTTCAGTCTATTTTATAGATACAGTATGTACAATTTAATAATACTGAATAGATAAATAACCTCTAGAAAAGGAAACTCATCATTTAAGACTTGTTGCATCCTATAATAAATCATCTTCCAGATTAATTTGGACTTTATGGCTTTATGGGATTGGAGCATTTGCATCATTTATGATTATTTGGTTTAAATGTGGAGGTGAAAACAGAGATTGGAAACCATCTATTTCACTCTTGGAAAAAGGATTTTTCATAACGAAGCATTCCAAATATTTAGAAGAAAAATCAAGACTCCTAACAATAGGGAGAAGATCATGCCTAAATGAAAAGCCTTGTGCTAGTTCCAGAGTCTGAAAATGTGTTATGTGTAGGTTTCTTTAATTGGAAACCTGCAGAGTAATATTTGGAGAAGAGCAAATAAATAAATAATTCGACTACCCATATGAATGAACTGAATTTGCTTACATTTAAATGCAAACGAAACATATTTTTCCTCCCTTCCTCCTCCTTCCACTTGGCAGACCATCTGTGTTGGATGTGGGGGAACACAAGCTGTTTCAAAGGGCAGTGTGGTTTGGTTGCTTCAAGGATGTGAAACACGGTTAGGGAACTACAGTTCATATCATCTTCCTCCCTCTTTCCTACAGCCATAGAAGGCCGACGGGACCAGTGTGAAGTGCCCAGAGATCCGAAGTACCCCGATTGCTCTGGAAAAGTAGAGGTGAGTATGCAAGATTTAAAATCATATTCTGCTTAGGATCAGTGAGAAGATCTGCTCTCTTATTGCACGACAAGTTAAAAACTACAAGTAAAACCTTTTGAGAAGGAGGTAACCTTTCCCTAGCAAGCAAAATAGCAATCAACGAATCTCATCCACTCTCAAGCACTGTCATCACTCTCCAGTTACGATTGACTTATGACAATTAATTAAGCCCAAAATTTCTATTGTTAAGTGAGATACTTGTTAAGTGAATTTTGCCCCATTTGATGACCTTTCTTGCCATAGTTGTTAAGTGAATCACTGCAGTTATTAAATTGGTAACATGGTTAAGGCTTCCCTGTTGATTTTGCCTGTCAGAAAGTTGCAAACATGACCCCAGGATACTGCACAAATAGGACGTAGCTACCAAGCATCCAAATGTTGATCAAGTGACCATGAGGATGCCACAACGCTCGTGTGAAAAACGGTCCTAAGTCACACTTTTCAGTGCTATTGTAACTTTGAATGGTTACTAAATGGACTGTTTAGTGGTAGGATTCAATTTTTTTTACTACCGGTTCTGTGGGCATAGTGTGGCTTGGTGGGTGTGTCTTGGTAGGCATGGCTTGGTGGGCGTGGCAGGGGAAGGGTACTGCAAAATCCCCACCCCACTAACCTGCTCTCCAGCTCCATTCTCCTGTGCAGGGCAACAAAAGAAGACCCAGCCGATCAGCTGGGACTCAGAAGGCAGAGAATAGATGGGGGCAGGGCCAGTCAGAGGTGGTATTTGCCAGTTCTCTGAACTACTTAACATTTCCGCTACCGGTTCTCCAGAACTGGTCAGAACTTGCTGAATACTACCTCTGTCACTATTGCAAACCAAGGACTACCTATATAGCTCTTCCTGCTCTATTGAAATACAAGTGTATTGCATCCTAAGGTTGAGATAACCTTATCCTTGTTACTTTTTTTTTCAAAAGACCTTCAAAGACCTGGCTATGTGCCAGAGCCTGGGGTCCTAAAATTGTGAGGGGCCCTGTTTTATCTGAATGCACTGTTAATTTTTTATGTAATCATTATGAAAACGTTCACTTATATGTGAAATGTATAACTATTTTTGGGGTGTTTTTATGGCTTTAATTATTGTGATATTGTTTGCTGCCTAAAGTCAATTGGATTGAGATGAGCGGCTGTAGAAATTAAATAAACAAATTAAAAGAGCTGAATGAAGGAGTCGAATCTGGAAGACGTTCCCTTACATGAGCAAAGGAGCGGAAAGTTGATTTTTATCCTACTCATGCAAATCTGGAGTGATTTTGCAGAGAACAGATGGTGCTGTGAGGGTTATAAACAACAGTTGCCATTTCAGTACTCCCCCAGCACCAGAATAACTCATTGGAGCATAACCCTGGATCTCATCCAACCATCCTATATATATATATACACACACACACACACACAGACTTTTTTAAAGTTTGCAAAAGCATATGAATTTCTGTATTAACTGAATACTACTGCTGTACACCATGTATCCTTGAATTGGCTGTAAACCTTGGAATGAATTTGGCTGTCCCATTGCTGATTCCTATTCTGCCCCAGTTACCGGTTTCAAGTTACTGCAGTCCCCTGACTTCCCTTCAAGGTAACTGATTTTGCTCAACTACTTCAGGCTGCTTTTGGGTTATATCAGGATTAGGGGCACTCTGATGCAGCCTAAGGCTATCTCACTCATAGGCTTATCCACACTGCATGCTTATTGTGGTGGGGAGAGGCCCCTCTTACCATTTCCTGAAGAGTCCCCAGCAGAGCCTCTTAACTAGCTCACTGCAGAGGCAGGCGGAAGCTAGTATATCAAGCATGAAATATTTTCCTGGGGGGAGGGGGGAGACTGGTTATCTGGATAATCCATGGCACAAGAAGAAGGAAACTTGAGATGTTCTTGATGAGGAACAACGATCTACTTGGCTACAATAGCCCTGGTAGATCTGCTGTGAGACTGCCACCTTCCCCTGGTTCCTGAGCTTGAGGCCTGTTCTGTGGTGTTGATTTGGCTACAAGTAATAATGGATCCTAGGCTCTACAAAGATTCTTAGATTTCATGATTAGGTTATATGCGCTTGTGTTGGTGATAATTAAATCACTTCTTTTCTTTTAAACCCTGGAAATAGCACTCCTACCTAGTGGGTAAAGTTGGCAGCAGACATACTTTGGACCAGAGATGGTATTCAATTTTTTTACTACCGGTTCTGTGGGCATGGCTTGGTGGGGATAGTGTGGCTTGGTGGGCGTGGCTTGGTGGGCATGGCAGGGGAAGGATACTGTAAAATACCCATTCCCTCCCCACCAGGGGTGGGTTTCTACTGGTTCTGTCCACCTCTGTAGAACCGGTAGCTCTGAAGAGCAGCAGACATAGAACCGGTTCTATGTCTGCTGATGTTTTTGTCCACCTGCCCACCCAGGTTCTTACCTGATCTTTATTTCCAGATTTTTCAACTTCAGCTGTCAAACGAGGCACCGCTGCAGTTTAAAAAGCAGGAAAAGAGGGCTGTTTCAAAGGCTGCTTCTCTGCACGCAGCGTGCTGACGACGATTTACAGGCGCGCAGCTCGCAGCGTGCTAGGAAGCGCGTAAATCCCGAACCTGTAGTTAACCCTGTCATATCCTACCCCTGCTCCCCACCCTACTAACCTGCTTTCCAGCTCCATTCTCCTGTGCAGAGCAACAAAAGAAGACCCCGCCGATCAGCTGGGTCTTGGAAGGCAGAGAATAGATGGGAGTGGGGCCAGTCAGAGTTGGTATTGCAACCCCACCCTTCAATACTTAATGGATGGTACCACAGATATACTATTCTTGCTTTATCATTCTAAATGTTTTGCACTTATTGTGCATTGTTGTTATAGTGAGACACTAATTAGCAAGCATATTGGGACAGTTTATTCCAGAAAGCAAGGTGTTCCCTATCCAGCCCATATATTTTGATACATTTAAATATTTGGTGATCCTAAGGGAAGCTATGGCAGTGTCAGGTTATCAGTGTCTTTTTGTTGTGTTGTTTTCTGAATAGGCAAAAACTGTGCAGTAGGAAGAATCAATAAAGGAGAATATTGTAACTTGGAGTTAAAATGAGGGGTTCTTGGTACACTCTGAGCTTGTTTTTTTCTTGTAGACATTTCATTACCAAAACTAGCACTGATGATATTACCTAGTTTGGGCAATAAAACATCTGCAAGAAAACAACCAAGATCAGAAAGCACCAAGGACCCCTCAGTAGGAAAGAATGCCTTAATTCTGATTTTCTTCAGGATGTGGTTATCTGTGGATTTCATGTCGATGTTGCAACCTTGATCCTAATGTTAAATCTTGATTTCATGTCCTTTTCGCTGCCTGCTAGAAAGGCAGAAAATGATATGCATTAATTTCCAAAAGTCCAGGAAATGCAATAACTATTAAATCTTCCAATTAATTTACTTTCCTTGCTCCCCACCTAAAGACTGCTGAAATAATTTGTCATCTGCTATGAACAAATGCGTGCCACACATTGCAATTTAGCCTCAATAGAAATGATAATGTTGAAAATTCTCAAAAGGGATTTGAAATTCCATTAGGGTCCAATAACTTGAAGAAACATTTTTATTATTATTTTTAATTAAATCTAATAATAAAACTGACATTGGTAATGCCAAACAATAGATTATCCTAGATATTGCAACTATGTGGAACAACCTTTGAAATGTACTGAACGTGACATTTTCCTCCTCCTCCTCCTTCATTTGATAATGCAAACCCCCAAAACATACATCGAAAAGAATTCCAACTTTCCCCTTATAAATGCGCTATTGAAATAGGAGACTATACTATACTCCATATTCCAAAGGATCAAGTAGCGATGTAGGCTAGCTTAATGAAAAACTGGTCATTTGAGAGTGAGGATAGATGTTTCTTGCTCTCAAATCACAGTAGCTAGGTTGCCCTGTGTTTTATGATTAATGGATGGATGCAACTTTCACAGCGGTGTTAATTATTCACACACAAGCAATGCAAAAATAGCACCAATATGAATTTATCATCTTGCTTATTTTAATGTAGAAAGTCATCTCTGGCCTGAGGAGTTTTGGGCACCTTATATTTGCTGTGCTTTTAACAAACAACAGAACTTTAGCTAGCCTTGCCAGGTAGAGCAGACAGGAAACAGATCAGGTGAGCTAATTCTACAGTACTTTATTGTAAGGGTACGTTAACAGGAGCTTACAAGCCTGAAAGTGCAAATTTCTCACCCTCGCTTTTTATAGACCGATAAGTTAGGGGGGGATCCTTTCTGAGTTTCCTTTCTGCCTGTTAAACAGCTGTGGGCTCCCCCCACCTTATCTGATCATCTCCCAGGCAGCATCTCTTCCACCCAGTTCAAAATCATCCCTATAAATCATTACAGCTGGATGTGGATGTGTTCAGCACAATACAGCTGCACCCCAATGTTTTAGTGTAACTATAAGTTAAAATGGAAAGCTAGTTTGGTGTAGTACTGTAGTTAAGATGCCAGGTTAGAAACCTGGAGACCCTGAGTTCTTGTCTTGCCTTCGGCACAAAGCTATGGGATAACCTTGGACCTCCCTGCCCTAGGAACCAGGCAATGGCCAACCATTTTTGAAATATTTCCAAGAAAATTGCAGGGATAGGTCCAGGCAATCAGCCGAAGTCTGGACAGCATACCCATGTTAAAATTAGTTACCTCCTCCCCCACTGAACCTCAGCTACTAATCTGACTACTTGACAATATAAATTAACTGCTAGATTAACAAGACACAACCTTTACATTACTCAGATTTTTCCAGTTCTGTAGCGTTCATTTTTGCTGCCTTTATTCATGCCTGGGTTAAATTTTAAGTGTGATTTAATTGTGGGTGGCAGTAATTCTATCTCCTGTCTGGATGATTGGTGAGTTTTACATATTGGGAGTGGAGGGCTGTCTCTTGAGTGGATTCATTTGTGTAGTTAAGTTTGGAAGAGGATGGCACCAGCAATTATGGAGGATGATGGATCTACGCAGAGGAGCCTAAGCTTATTGCTTTGTATGCAAAATCACTTTTTGAGGGCATTGCTATTTTTTTTTTTTGCTTCCTTAGTACAGGATTGTCAGCTCCACCTTGCTGGGCAATAGAATATTAATGCCAGCAATGATCTTTCACCTGTCTATTTTTGAAACTTCCTAACCAGCATACTTATTTTTTTCCTGGTGAAATTAATCCAATGGTTCTTTTTTCTCTGCTAGCACTGACTGAAATAAAAGGCAAAATACACTTTGTGAACAGTGGCAGCATCTCCTCTGCATTTAGATAAGAACATAACACCAGCAGACCAGAGGTGGGTATTCAGCAGGTTCTGACCAGTTCTGGAGAACCAGTAGCGGAAACTTTGAGTAGTTCAGAGACCCGGCAAATACCACCTCTGACTGGAGATTTTATAGTATCCTTCCTCTGCCACGCCCACCAAGCCACGCCCACAGAACCGGTAGTAAAAAAAAATTGAATCTTACCACTGCAGCAGATATATATCAGCATCTAATTTAGTTTAAACACATTTTTTTTCCACAAGATGTACTGTGAATTTTTTTCCTGTAACAGAGCACGCAGAAAGTTTCTTCCTGTGTTGCATTTTTGCCTCCCTCTCCTTCACAAGAACTTGTAGCATATCTTTCTTTGTATTATCATTAAATATCACAATATGTCGCCTGGCAGTGGATGAGGGCTCGATGGACGTCAGACCCTTGCTATGCATTCTTTGGTGTGGATGGCACAGAATGCTCGTTCCTCATCTACCTCAGTGAAGTTGAGTGGTTCTGCCCAGTGCTGCCTTGGCGAAATCAGTCGGCAGCTGCCCCTTCTTCCAACTCATCACCCAGGATACAGGTAAGGCTTGCTGCTTTTGGATTGACTCGGGGCTGTGACCTATTTATCAAAGTGGCTTTCTTTTGAAACTTGACTATTTCTCATTTGATAGTAATGGGTATGGGCAACCATCCACAGAAAAGCATGTGTTCGAACATCTGTTTGCGGACAGACTGTAGTTTCTGAATGATTCCTATTTTAGGATGAGTATGAGAGGAGCAAGAAAAAAATTCTTTCTGGTCCATGACCATAATAAAGACTGATTGATTAGGAAAAGATTCTATACTATCTACAACTAAGAACGATCACACATCCCGCTCAATATCTATTCTCTATTCTCCATTATAAAGTAAAATCAGAGCACACAGTCCATTACATTACTATGGGATCAGGTGCAATAGGGAGAATTTTCCTCCCGATTATATTTTTTCCTGATTGTGATGACCCATGGCGTGGCACAAAAGCAACAAAGTCACAAAAGTAGGTAAAATTCCTTTAATACCTCCAACTTGGCCCCCAATGTCCATATCATTGGCTGGAGAAAAAACTCTTCCAAGAACAGTTTTTAAAGGGAAGAAATTCAGTCCAAACCCAAAGTACATATAAATTATAAATAAAAACCAACACTACAAACCACAATTAATGAGATAGGGCAAGATAAGGAATTGCAGACTCCCAAAGATAACAAAACACATACAGTTGGGAGAACACCAGAACCCAGATAAGACTTGACAAACAAAAATAATTCACGCTTTGCTTCCAGCAAGGTGCTGTGCGCAAACACCATTTTTAAATCCTGTTTTCCCAGCTGCAGCTAATGAAGGGAATCAGGGTCCTTTTCTTCCCATAACCCACATTGCTCCCTTCTCCGTTCTTCCCTGCATGCCCTAGGATAAAGAAGGGGTGACCCTGGGTCTTCCTCTGAATGCCCAGCCGGGCTATGCCCTTCCCCAGTTTCTTCCACAGCCATCGAAGCTACACTCCAACTCCCTGTCAGCTGCTCAACCTCCCCTTCGGAATCAGATTCCAACAGGGGCATGACATTGATGTTGTAGTAGTGTTAACATAGGCAGAATGCCTGAATAAGGAGATGCTGCCTATAATTTCACTAAGTAGCAAGTGAGGGAATTAGTCCCTCTACACCTGCCTGAAAATCAGATGGCAAGAATGGGAAAGTTGAAACAGAAGGAATCTTTTCTTAGCTTTTCCTGATAACTTTCAGATAACAGTGGTTTGTCATGATCCCCATCTAGGATGATTTTAAATCTACCAGCCTAGCTTACACCCTTAGATTTTCCTGCCGGTCTTGGTTTTTATCTACCGAGCATAGAGTGGGTCACTCCATTGGGGTCATGAACGCAAGTGGTAAGTGCTCTTAAGGCAGTAGCAAAATGAAACCACTAAAGAACATCAAAGTAACTGTTATATGGTCTACAGAACTATACAATAAAAGTTATGGTGAGAAAAAACCAACCCTAATAGCAAAACTTCCATCAAATATACTGTACAATTTTCAGTGGTTATAAGATGTGAGAAACCCAATCAGTATCCTAGAGAAGGACATGATTGCTGCAAATGTGAACCGGGACATTCCACATTACAACAACTAGTAGTTTGTAATTTTACCACTTCACTCTACCAATAGGCTGTACCGGATAATGAACTTTCAAAATAGTCCTCAGGATACTATCCTAAGCTCACCATATTGTCCTAAACCATTTCAGTAGTATCTTATCCAAAGAGGCCATGGAAAGAAGAGCATAGGCCCAAGTGATAGATTTTATGAAGATCACTGAGCCTTGCATGAGTAGAAAGTCTGTTGTTTTTTTTTAATCCTTCTAGGCGGCTTTTCAGAGAGACATCTCCTATCTTCTGGAGTTAATTGGCAGCGGCAAGGAGTCCTTGATCTTCATGAAGAAACGGATCCGTCATTTGGCTGCACAATGGCTGAGGGCCTCTCACAAACTAGAACAGAAGCTGGAGGGCAAACACCGAGATCAGAAGCAGGTACACAATTAAATGAGTTGCTTGTTCATTGTGTATGGTGTTATAAGTGTAAGGCACAGAGGCATTCACTTGGGCGGTGTTTTTGTAATTTATTTCTTGCCTACCTAACAACCCTGTTTCTGATGTATCTATTCACACACACCCCTCTCTCTTTTTCCACTGGCTTTTATAGATTTTGATCCACATCGGCTTCTTGACAGAAGAATCAGGAGATGTTTTCAGCCCTCGTGTATTAAAAGGAGGTCCATTGGGGGAGATGGTCCAATGGGCAGATATATTAGCTGTTCTTTACATCCTGGGCCATAGTCTGAAGATCACAGTCTCTTTGAAAGAACTTCAGAGGTGGGTTTTCTTCCATAATTAAAGCATGGCATTTATGGCACAACAATCTTCTTAATGGCTTATTTTTAAAACATTGTCATCCTGTGGTAGAAGTCTGAAATTATCTTAAAACTGAAGAGCCCTTCTGTTCCATTATCTTAGACTCAATGCCTTGATTTAGATCAGGGGTGGGCTGCTGAGGGTTCGCAGGGAGAGTCCCTAGGAAGATTAGGTGCAGTTCGGAGAACCCCCAAATCCCACTCCTCGTTGGCTCCACCCACCCCACCCCGCCCCTCCCAGGAATCCCCACGTGGCCCATTTTGGATGCAGGTAAGTGCAGGGAGCGCACGGACGCTCAGGTAGGGTGAAAAAAGGGCCTGCTGGAAGGCTGGAAGCTGTTTCCAGCTTCCAGAGAGCCTCCGGAGCCCGGAAAGGCCATTTTTGCTCTCCCGGAGGCTCAAGGAAAGCCTCTGGAGCCCAGGGAGGGCAAAAGCGCCCCCCCCCACCATGGCTACGCCCACGCCAGCTAGGCCACACCCACCATGGCTACGCCCACCCAGCAACCGGGCAGAGAACCCTTTGCTAAAATTTTTGAAGCCTATCCCCTGATTTATATTCCTCATACTATGGAAGTCACAGAAGAACTACAGGCAGTCCTCAACTTACGACTATCACTGAGCCCAAAATTGTTAAAGGGAGACATTTGTTAAGTGAGTTTTGCCACATTTTACAACCTTTCTTGCCACCGTTGTTAAGCGAATCACTGCAGTTGATAAATTAGCAGCCTGGTTGTGAAGTGAATCTGGCTTCCCCAATGACTTTATCAAAAGCTCACCAAAGTTGGTCACATGACCTTGGGAAATAGCAACAGTCATAAGTACGAACCAGTTGCCAAGGGCCTGAATTTTGATCACACGATCCCGGGGATGCTGCGAAGGTTGCAACTGTGGAAAATGGTCATAAGTCACTTTTTTTCAGTGCCGTTGCAACTTTGAATGGTTACTAAGTGAACTGTTGTAAGTCAAGGACTACCTGTATCAGTCCAGAACTCAGAGAAGTGTTATTTGATACAATAGCAGTATATTACAGAGGGGGAAAAATCACCCAGGTATTTTGCGCCTGGTAGCATCTGATGACTAACAGATATAATGATATTATCCATACACTCTCTCTCATATGCCTTGTCCTTCCTCTTCTGTAAAGACAGAAAATTATTTAATGTAGGAAAACTGACAAAACAGTGTTCACATGTTTATGTGATCAGCAACAACAAAAGCGCCCCGTGATAGATACAAGTCTCCAAATAATGCTGCTTTTCCTCAGATAAAGCACAGTAACATTTGTAGCATCTCAAAGCATTACATACCGTAGATATCTTCGTATCGTCCGCCTTCTCGCCAAAGCCATCGCTAAGGTTAGGCAGCTTTAATTTCACGGGGGGGGGGGGGAGGTGGGGGAGTGATTTTAATACCCTAAAATATTCCCTAAAGCAAATCTTTGCTGTGAAACAAATCCGTGCCTTTTCCATACACGTACTGTGTTAGCTGTTGCTCCTTCCCTTCACTGCTCTCCCACCTTTGTAGATAGGGGAGCAAATCCTCTCTCCTAGAATGAGCCCAGCTAATCAAAGGTTCCCGCGGTGCAAGGGATGATTTAACAACGCTGCATAACTGCTGAGGGTAAACAGAGCTGGCTTAGCAAGGGAAAGCAAACATTTCCCGGGACACAAGCTTATTTAGGGGGATGCTTTTTTAAACAGGCGAGCTGCCCACCCACCCCTCCTTGACGCAGCAGCAGATTCTTTTTAATGCTGAACATTTGTTAAAAACCGTCTCTCCCCCCCCCCCAGACTAAATTAAGCAAAGAAATGTAATCTTCTTAAATAATGCAGGATTTCTCTGATGCGGGGTGAGAAAAGGAAGAAGAGCAAACGGGATCAGAGCAAGGTTGGGTTGACTAGTATTGAACAATTGCTGATTCAGTCTGAATAGTCTGCTCCCTGATCATTCCTAGCTTCTTGCTATTTTACACCAAATAGATCAAGGTGCCAAAGTAAACGTTGCAGGAAATGAAATTCAGGATCACATAGAAGAAAGCTCCATAGGAAGATCCTCAGCCCTGCCTGTTAATCTTTGATATGACTTTCCTGTCTTCTTATATCGCTCTGCCCTCTGGTTTCCAGGTTCTGCCAGCAGATATGTACTAATCCTATGTCTCCAGTACATGGTAGTGATAGCCCAGTACAATGGGGAGCATCTTTCTCCTAGTACACCAGAAAGATACCTTAGTGTCAGTAGTGATTCATTTTTTTTTTACTACCGATTCTGTGGGTGTGGCTTGATGGACATGGCAGAGGAAGGATACTTCAAAATCTCCATTCCCTCTCCACTCCTGGGGGAAGGTTACTGCAAAATCTCCATTCCCTCCCCACCCCACTAACCAGCTTTCAAGCTCTGTTCTCCAAGAGCAGGACAATCAAAGACGACCCAGCCGATCAGCTGGGACTCGGGAGGCAGAGAATAGATGGGGGCGGGGCCAGTCAGAGGTGGCATTTGCCAGTTCTCTGAACTACTTAAAATTTCCACTACGGTTCTCCAGAACTGGTCAGAACCTGCTGAATACCACCTCTGCTTAGTGTCTGTTAGCTATTGGGAACTGAGCCAAGTCTCTGGCCTCTGATTAGCTTGGAGACCAAGTGGGTTCTGGGGAAAAGGGTGGTTTGAAAGATCTGGCCTTTCCTGATGCCAAGAGAAGAATGGCCCTGCAGAAGAAGGTCTAGGGGGCAGTGGAGAGGGGACATTCCTGCACCAGTCTAAAATGGATAGGGAAAGTTGGACCAGTCTCAACGTTTAGGGATCACCTGACTCTGCCAAAAAAAAAAAAAAAAGTAGTCCAATGCTGCATTAATTGAAGGATAGAGTCAAGATCATGTGAACTGTTAATAGCAATTTTAATGCCTTAGTAAGACCACTCTTGGACTTATTGCATCCAGTTCTGGTTGCCATGAAATAAATAAATAAAATGTTGAGACTCTAGAAAGAGTGCAAAGAAGAGCAACAAAGATGATTAGAGGACTGGAGGCTAAAACATGTGAAGAATGGCTGCAGGAACTGGGTATGTCCAATTTAATGAAATCATGCTATGGTAACATAATAGTAGTTTTCCAGTATCTCAGAGGTTGCCATGAAGAAGGGGGAGTAAAGCTATTCTCCAAAGCACCTGAAGGCAGGACAAGAAGCAATGGGTGAAAACTAATCAAAGAAAGAACCAATCTGGAACTAAGGAGGAATTTCCTGACAATTAGAACAATTAATACGTGGAATGACTTGTCTCCACAGGTTGTGGGCACTCCAACACTGGAGGTTTTTAAGAAGAGTTTGGGTAACCATTTGTCTGAAATGGTATAGGACTTCCTACCTGAGGAATGGGTTGAACTAGAAGACCTTCCAGTTCTGTTATTCTGTATCAATGAATGGATGGTCACTAAAGCCTGTCAGATTGGATCCTTGGCAAAATTGTATGAGGATAAGAGGGGGAACTCTGGCTTTAAAACCAGAACATTCAAGGACATGTAGGAGATTTTGAGATTCACCATGACTTGGCGAACCATGACTTGGAGGCTGGTGTGATGGACACTTAGACCTCTTCCTGAATCCCATCCAGTTTGTATATAACCAGCAGAGGACCTTCTTCTTCCAGCAGCCATTGTCCCACTAGAAGTAAAAATGCTCTTCGTGTCTTATCCCTACCAGGACTGTCACACATGGCTTCCTATAAGCAGAGCCACTCAAAAGTTGAATTTCTTTTGCTCTTCTCCTCATTTATTTTAGCACACTTTGGTTCTGCGGTGGCAAAAATCATGGGAAGGTTGTTGTTTTTTTAAAGTAAAATTTAAAGGTCAGGAAAGCTATTCTATTTAATGAAATCTGTGGTAATCTATTAAAAACAAACAGACAACTCACACTTACCCATTGTTTTTATTAGCACCTTGTGGAATTTTCCTTTCATATCTTTTTTTTTGGGGGGGGGGGGGGAGACGAGACTGCATTTTCCATGCAAAATAGTCAGGCAGAAATGGCCTAGTGCTATAGTTATTAGGACATCAAGAGGAAAAATAACTCAGACACTCCATGCACACTTAAGAGTGTGAAGTTGTTAATTAGCACTGGGTGATAGTGTGAATGAGACAGGAGCAAGGACTGGGGCAGCCTGGGGAAGGGATGTTTCAGTTGTTGTTACCTTTGCTCCATGATTACGGTGATGAGATGTTATCGTGTCCTGTATATAGATCACTTTTGTTTGTTTGTTCAATTTATATCACTGCCCATCTGACATATGGGATTCTGGGTGGCTTACAGAATTAAAAACACAAAAAACAGTGGGAAAATATAATCTAAATCACAACAGCATAAGAGTATTAAAAGAGCAAAAGCTATTTAAAAAGTAAAAAAAAGTGTGATTTGTAGGAAAGCATAATTAATCTCTCTAACAGCATAGCCGTTAGACAGGCTTCATTCCACCATTCCCAGATCCCCTGGTCAGATGGCAAAAGCCATTGTCTTCAGGTCCTGCTGGATTGCCAGTTGGGTTGGGACCAGTCTGACTTCAAGGCAAATGATGTTTCAAGGGGTGGGGGATGTATCAAAAAGGCTGTCCTCCTGGCCCCCCATCAGAGGACATTCCTTAGTGAATGGGACCCATACCATTTTACTTATGTATTCATATTTCACCTTAATTATTATTTCTTTAATAATCAAGTTAAGGTTGAAAACACATCCAATGCTCCTTCTTACTCCTATTCTACAACACTGTCGGCGGTGAAAGAGTGACTGGCTCAAAGTCAACCCCACTTGGCTTTTTATGGCTAAGGCAGGACTAGAACTCATGGTCTCCCAGTTTCCAGCCTGACGTCTTAACCACTAGAGCTAGACCAAACTAGCTACCATTCTGCCAAATCTGACTGGAAGGGTTGAAGTGACTGGGAAAAGATGTATTGGCTAATTGCTCTACATTTTCCAACC